TCCATCAGGGCACCAAATGCCGTTTTCACCATTAAGCCTTTCTTCTTTTCTTCTTCTTATTCCTTGCATGTTACATTGAAAGAGATTAGTTTACCTGCCTACTCTCCACCCCTGCGCACATTCCAAATACCACCTGGCAGTATAGAACAAAGGTTCAAAATCTTTTCTGCAGGTTCGCAGAGGGATAGAATCAGGATGAGGGCTTCGGATAGAAAAACCCTTGAAAATGAAAGCCTGAATGAGGATACAAAGAGAGAAAAACAAAGGAGGACATTCTTTTTACATTTGGTTCCCTTTATAAAAATATGGATCACATTCCTATAAGGGGAAAAATAGAACAAACTACAGCAGCTTTTAAGGGATTTCCTCTCACCAATTTTTCTCCAGTCCCTTAATTGCGTTTAAGCCTGTGAGTACTTTGTTTACAGTCCCTAGGGCTGTGATTTGCATCCTCCTCTCAGGGTTGCCGTTGGCTGGAGCTGGCAGCTGTCTCAGTCCGACTCTGGCTGGGAAAGGTAAGGATCTTTGCCTTGCTCTTTGAGAGATCTGGGAGAGAAATGCAGAATGCCTACAGAGGGGTGGAGTAATGGGGGAAGGGTAATAGATTTAATTAATACATTGGAAGCTTTCTGAAAAGTTCTCCAAATTTAAAGGAATCTCTTGGAGCCATGTGTTTTAAAAAGAACCAGAAAGATTTCCTCTTTCTTCTGAAAGAAGGCTCTCAGAAAGAAGGTTTGTTGCATTGTGAATGAGATTTTGCCTTTGGGGGCAAGTGTCCCTTAAGGAATTCCCAGGGGTGTTAAATATCTTACAGGCACAGAATGGAAGAAGGAAAAAATCGTTCGAAGGTATCAGACATTAATTGCTAGGATTTTTTTTTTTATTTCAATTTGAAGAGGTAAACAGTTAAAACTGCACATGTCCATGGGTGTAATGATAGGTGTCTATTCTTCATATACAATTTCTGCTTTATCCCAAAGCTTTCTACTTCTTTGTACTTATCAACACAAATCACCAATTATCTACTTAAGACTCTAGGGATGTGCATCTGTGTATCTAGGCAGATGTATACTCTTTGTGGAAAAGAATTAGAGTGACTATGACACCTGAAGCCTGAAAGCTTTGTTATTAGGAGAAGTAATGACAGGCCTGCCCATGCTCCTGGCGCACAGATACACTCACGGTCCCTCATTATAGATTCAGCCGCGGGCTCACCATGGGAAAAAGTGCCTCTGGCTTTTCTCTAAAAGAAGTTAATTCATGTACTTGTGACTTTGGTCATAGGGGAACTTGATATTCAACAGGATAAGGTGATATTACAAACTTCAGCTTATTGGATTTGGGGAGGTGGGGGGCGCGAAGCAGCCCGTGCTAGGAAGTAGCGAGGAATTGCCCCCAAAGGCCACAGTTCGCAGTTCGAGAGGACTGCTGCTCTTGTAAGGAGATTCTCAAGAACCATCAATTTCTGCAGCCAGTGACTGCCAGTATCTCCAATTTCCCAGGGCAATGTTGGCCAGTGCTGAAATGTCCCGGTTCTAAGTATCCCTTATCTTCAAAAGCAAGCGACAGCACTCCTCCTGGATGATGGTTGTGTTCCTTTACACCCCACCTTTCAAAAGTGTGAGGATGGTGGCAGCTGAGGCCGGCCAAATACTCATTCTCCACAGCAGGCTGAGCCTCCCCCAACTCAGCCAGGCTTCAGAGACTTTTCAACTTTATTTTTCAAAATGAAGAAGCCCTCTCTCTGGCTTTCATTCTAGAATCAAAAGGACCTCTGGTCTCTCTCCCTTTATGACAAAATCATCAAGGTATTTTTACTAGACAAGGCTGGAAAGAGCAGGAGAGGTGAGATGCCAGAGAACATCCAAGCCCTCTGCGAGCAGTCAGAGAACCCTGACGGCCTGAGAGAAAGAAAAATAAATCTTTTCCAAGACTTAATTGATTTGTAGGTTTGCCGTACCAGTTACAAAAAGTTATTAAAACTTGTATAGATGGAAAAATAGAGGACGGATAACATTTAGCTACAGAAGCATAAGGACCAACTTACAATGGTCTCCCAGTACCATCTCATTTTTCCCCCTCAAAAAGACAATCTGGGAATTTAAAATTTCAATACGTGTCTAATAAAGCATAAACCTAAAAGGCCATTGGGGGACAGGGGGTAAGAAATAGATCTTTAACTTTATTGTTTGAGAGGGTCACTTGTCAAGCTGCATATGTTTGAATGTTTAAAACACCTTGCTCCTTAAAGTGGGCCAAGGAGAAGCAGCTTGGCATCAGCCAGGAGCTTGTTTCAGATCTACTGAATGAGGATCAACATTTAACAAGCTCCCTATGTGATTTTTGTGCCGATTAAAGACTCGGGTTCTGACCAAGGGGTCTCTCTTCCTGTGTGACCTTGGTCAGATTACTTAACCCCTCTGAGCCTCATTTATAAACTATTAATGAGCTCAGTTATAAACTCGTTTGTAAACTAGTGAGAATTAATGTTAATGAGAGCATATTGCCTGTGTCATACTTCATAGTAAGTGACAGCGATGATGATGGATGGTGATGATGATGATGATGATTATAGCATTGCCAAAGTTACCTTCGAGACAAGTAGTAATTGTGTTTAAGTCAAGATCACTGTTTTTCTCTCTTAACCACAAACATTTGTACCTCCCACCTCATTCCTAAATGAATTAACATCAAACAAGGGGGTGGGGTGGGTAAGTTTCAGATGGCTAGCATACACATATAAATAAAGAATACTAGGGAAAGCTAGGAACGTGGATTTTTGCTGGCTTAGAGGCTGAATTCAGCTGCCCAAGGACTTCACAGCTGTTCCTTCCACCCTAAAGTGTCTGTCCCTGTCAGCTCTGTCCCCTCAGCTGGGTTTGCAAAGCTGACTCGGAGATTTTCTTATGAAAATGCCTGATGGGCGGGAGGACGATTTGGTAGGTTGGCTGGGGAAAAAGTGAGTAACGCAATGCAGTCTACTAAATGCTGCAAGTGAACTAAAAGTAAAAGCTGGCTCCTGTCTCTGGGGACTCTAGAATGATTCTGACTTATCATGTCACTGAACAGAGTTGGGGGAAGCCAAAACTCAAAATCTGCTGGCAAGGAAAAGAACGAAGGAAAAAAAAAAAAAAAAAAGACAGGGAGGGGCAATCAGAGTGGGAGGAAATAAAAAGAGAGAGAGGGAAAGACAAGCGTCATTTAGGAACAGAGGTAGAGAGAAAGAACGAACTCCAGGATCTGAAACCAACCCTACGGTTCA